GATATGTTATAAGTGTTTAGAAATGATATATTATAAGTGTTTAGAAATGATATATTATAAGTGTTTAGAAATGATTATGAATGTGTAGAAATATGTTGCAAGTCTTTAGAAATGATTATAAATGTGTAGAAATATGTTGTAAGTGTTTAGAAATGATTATTAATGTTCTGTTGTAAGAATAACACAACATAAAAGAGATATCTAGTACAAAAACAGAAATAATGTCATTTTCCTACATTTGGGAGATTTTGACCACCACATAAAATGGAAATTCTCCACAATTAGTTACAAAACAGAAAATTACATAAAAAGAATTTCTAAAATCTGTGGAGTTCATAGCATATACAACGTCAACATTTCTGAAACTAAACTGTTTTCTTATCGCGAACATCCTACAAGAAATACAGGGTCAAATGTCACCAATAAACTGACCTCTGTTCCTCTGTGACAGCCTACAAGAAATACAGGGTCAAATGTCACCAATAAACTGACCTTTGTTCCTCTGTGACAACCTACAAGAAATACAGGGTCAAATGTCACCAATAAACTGACCTCTGTTCCTCTGTGACATCCTACAAGAAATACAGGGTCAAATGTCACCAATAAACTGACCTCTGTTACTCTGTGAGATACCGTCCGACCAGGGAGGGCATGTAAAAGTGCCGAAACTAATATCGGAATCTTTGTGCCAGTATATTTGGATTTGATAGTAGGCAAGGACAAAGTTCTGTATTAAGTAATCTAAAATAAAGTTTAGATCTAATATTACGGTAGAACAAGCTTTTGTTTCTTGATATTGGATTTAGATACTTATCTTAGTGTGGAACTGAGTTTAATTTTAATTAATATACACTGTATTGTGTACTTTAATAAATACATATTGAGTAGGTAGTTGGACAGAAAAAACAAAACAGATTGAACTATGAATCAATCCCAGAAAAAACAACACAAAAACTTTAAATGCTTGATTAAATATATGGTATATATATATCACGAGGTACGTAACATAGGCAACATTTTACCTAAACATATATGAAAGTTATCAAATGGTAGATAAGGTAGGTAAGAATTTAACTGAACATATGGTGAAGGATATCAAGTGGTAGATAGAAAGGTAGCAGTTTACCTAGGCTTAAGGTAAAAATTATCAAGTGAAAGGTAATATAGGTAAAAGTGGTAGTTCGGTGAAGGTTTTGAAGTAAAAAACTGTTTATATTTCCATGCTAACGCTTGGTTTGGGAACATGGAAAGTAATGACAAATGGTAGATAAAGTAGGTAAGAATTTACCTAAACATATGGTGAAGGATATCAAGTGGTAGATAGAAAGGTAGCAGTTTACCTAGGCTTAAGGTAAAAATTATCAAGTGAAAGGTAATATAGGTAAAAGTGGTAGTTCGGTGAAGGTTTTGAAGTAAAAAAACTGTTTATATTTCCATGCTAACGCTTGGTTTGGGAACATGGAAAGTAATGACATGATATTTTATTTTTATTCCAGATAGAAGTTATCTATCCAATAAATTTATTTCTCTAGTTTTCTGAGTAAATCATGTCTTTATTTCAGATCACGTTTTCTTCAAAAAATAGCTTTTAAGAATTGAAATGATAATACATCTTGTGTTTATGGACACGGTTTCGATCTTATTAGGAATTTATATTACGTAAGCGTACATGAGACAACTTGAAACATTCACATACAAGAAGCGTATGCTAACCGCTTTGTTCTAGGCTTAAAGTTACAATACCACGTTTGACAGATTATTTTGTATTTGTGTGTAACGCTATGCAATCAGAATTCCCAAAAGTTTTACCATTGAATTTGTGCTTTTGCTTTGTCAGGTTTAACAATTAATTTTGCTTCTGTATATAACACTATGCATTCAGAATGCCATAAAGTTTTCTTTTTAAAGTTTTCGTTTTGCTTTGCAAAGTTTAACAGTTATTTGTGTCTACATCTAAAGCTATGCACTCAAAATTATCAAACGCTTTACCATTGAATTTATCGTTATTCTTTGCCAAGTTTAAAAACTGGTTTTGTTTCTAAGTTTCATCATAATGAATTTATGCTTTGGCTTTCCCTGGTTTAATAACTAATTTTTGCCTCTTTGTTTTTACGCTATGCATTCAGAATCTCTTTAAAATTTTCTCATTGAATTTGTTCTTTTGCTGAGATAGCTTTAGAATCTAAAGCGGTATTTCGAGCTCAGGCAATAACACAATAGTCCAAAAAATAGTGAAATAAGCAATTGTAATGCAAACGTTGACGCACAGTACGCAAAGTGGGCGTACATTCACTGAAAATCTGAATAAAAAACATGTTTCTTAAACTTATTTTCAGCTCCAAAATAGATTGCCTCGATTTCTCGAGGGCTTCTTTAGCAATGAACTTTCTAACAAATAGTAGATTCATATTTTAAGCTCTAAAATAATAATGGACAAATATGTTTTACTCTTTAAAAATTACACATATATTATACTTAACCAATTATCTAATTATATAAAGCTCATTGAAATCACAGCACATCAAGTACAGGGTTTTGGGAAGCCCAAAAAAATGAGCAATGAATCTGGAGTACATTTTATTGTTGGTTTTATATATATATATATTTAAGTCATCAAAGGTAAAGAATGCTCTGAATTACGCTCTATTTCTGTTGAATGTTACAATTAACTTAATTGTTGTACTGTCTTTAAACTGATTTACTTTTAAACGTGTTCAGAGTTTACGAATTTCTTCGACAAGCTCGTATAGCATCGTAAACAGGGTAATACAAATCTAGAAATAAAATTCACCAATTAACGTTAGTTTACGTCTCTCAAGTTAGACGCAACTTTAGCACGAAACATTCCCAATGCTTGATTCGCTTCCTGACGAGAGTACTATATTTCTAGATGTATCTCTTTGTTTTGGATTTTCCGCTGTTGAATTTTAATGAAACACTTGAACGTTTTCTTACTTTGACAAATGCCGAAAGAACGCTACACGAATCTAGTAAAACGACAAAACAAGCTCGAGCTAACGGTGGTATAAATCTTAACCAATTTCTACCCTCGCCGACGTTATGTTGAACGTGAGAGCAGGCATCAATGTCCTTATTATTCATACAATAACCAGGAAGAACAGATAAGGATATTGTTACCCGACCATCTTACGCGATCGGAATACGTTTGGAATCAGATGTCAGAAGAGAGGTTTATTCGCTAATCAAAATTAAAAGTGTTGTTGGGGTCAAAATAATAGACTCTCTCCTGGTTCACGTGGCTTTGTTTGATGTGAAAATGCTCGTTAGCATCGCAAGATGTGTGCCCGCTCTTATCAAAATATACGTCCATTTATTTGTGAATAGCATCGAATGGCTTTAATAACAATTGCATGTGAGATTGAAACTATTTTTTAATTTCTGTGATATCTACGCAAAGCCGAATCTGTTTATATATATATATATTAATGAGGGTTTGGTATGTTCTCAATCTGAACGACATCTTAAAACTAAGATCACTCACGATACATACTGGTATAAAACTATTATTATATGAGAAAATACTCATATAAAAATTACAACATTCAGGATACGTATTCAAACGAAACTGAGGTCATTCTTGATACGTTTTCATATAAAACTAACGTCATTCGAGACGCGTATTCATATAAAACTAACGTCATTCGAGATATGTATTCATATAAAACTAACGTAATTCTTGATACGTTTTCATATAAAACTAACGTCATTCGAGACACGTATTCATATAAAACTAACGTCATTCGAGATATGTATTCATATAAAACTAACGTCATTCTTGATACGTATTCATATAAAACTAACGTCATTCGAGACACGTATTCATATAAAACTAACGTCATTCGAGATATGTATTCGTATAAAACTAACGTCATTCTAAACACGTATTCATATAAAACTAACGTCAATCATGATACGTATTCATATAAAACTAACGTCATTCGAGACACGTATTCATATAAAACTAACGTCATTCATGATACGTATTCATATAAAACTAACTTTATTCAAGATATGAGTTGGCATAAAACTAAAGTCATACATACTCTTTTCTTGATATTATTCGGTTTAGGTTTAAAGGCATAATAAATGGCTTTCCGGAACCACAAACTTATAACCGAGAGAAAGAGACTACATACACCTGCGCTAACACTAGATGAAGTCTCAAAACGATCAGCGACAAATCACTCATGTTTTTTAATAAACCCATTAATCCTTCAGTAATGATTCTGCGTTGTTTTATGTCAACATCATATAAAATCTATAGCCATAAAAAGATGTGTAATGTCTCTCGTTGGTCTATATAGGTGCGTGAAACAGTAAACATTAATACACAATCCTGTTTGCTTTTAAGTAACCGTAGAGTTACACAATGGGCTATCTGTGCCCTGACCGCCGCAGCTATCGAAACCCGATTTTTATCGCTATAAGCCCTCAAACTTACCTCCGAAGTCACCGCGGTGGGAACTTCATATTTGAGCACGTTTAGCAAGATTTCAGCAACTTTCATATTGTAAAAGTAATGCGTATTCTACTTCTAGAATGTGAATGAATAGAAAGATAAAAAAATTATTGCCATATAATAAATGAAAACTACAGATAGATAGAACCAATTTTATTTTATTCATTCCAGTAGGATTTCAACATCTGATCCAAAATAAATTACTAACATTTTGAAGATTTACAGTTGTTCGTTGCACATTTTTGGTTGCCAATACTTTAATGGAAAAGTAATTATGCAGACGTAAAGTTTCGCTGACAAATAATATTCAAGCAGCATCCTTCCATACACTAGGAAATTTGTCATCATTTATCAGTTTCTTTTTTTTTTTCACTATTTTCATATTAACTATTTTTGTTTCACTCGGCGCTTTGATAATGCTAGATACCTTGTACCACTAGGCGTCGCTACTTACTCCAGAATTCCGTAAAACGTTTAAACACTGCGTTCCAAAGAGCCGAGTTTCAGTACAAGCGATAGAACCACTCCGATTTGTTAAAGTCTTTCAGGTTCGGAAACGAAGCTTGGCTGTGAGATCTCATTAGTCACAATGCTCTCTCTCTCTGTAGCAGAACAGGTTCATTTTCGAAATAAAAAAGGCAACGTGGTCACAGCTTTGCCCGTGACAGTAGAATTTGGAAAGCTTATCAAAGGTGATAGAAACACGAGGAATTCCAGCTTTCGTGAATGGAAGAAACAATTGAATAGCGCCCAGGCAAGCGAGCAGGTAAGCCTAACTATAGTATATAGGGGCTTTGAATTTAATTTTGCAACTACTTTTGTATAAATGTTTTACGTTTATTTGCTTTTGAATTATATCGTTCTAGAAGGTATATATAACTCGTACTTTTACTTCAAAAATAATCACATTTTTATTTCACATTTAAAAGTGTCGAATTGAATGTACCGTAATATTTTTACGCAACTGACTCGTAAAGATACGAATAAAATAATTGGGTAGAATTTTTACACTAAACAATTGTGATTGTCTTTGCTAGTTTAAACTTTCTCTGTATAATTGAGTAAATTTAATGCAATTTACGCAACTGACTCGTAAAGATACGAATAAAATAATTGGGTAGAATTTTTACACTAAACAATCGTGATTGTCTTTGTTAGTTTTAAGCTTTCTCTGTTTTGTCTATAAAATCTTAACACTTTAGGAAATGTGTAATCAGGTTGTGTGTGTGTGTGTGTGTGTGAAACCATGAATTTGTTGGATTGATAATATTCAGGTGATCGAGAGAAAGCAGCTAGTCAACACCGCCTAATCATCAACTCTTGCGCTATTATTGTCACTCTTATAACACACCAACTTAGAGATTTTTTTTGCGGTAACGGGACGCGAATAATAAAACCACAACCCCACATTTGGTACTGGAGTGATAAAATATGATATGTTAATTTTGTACATGATAGAAAAATTATAAGAAAAGAGCTAAACCAGATGCCATTATTATTGTCTAATGACAAAAAAAAAATATTGCCAACTTAAATTATCTTTCAAAAGATACTCGTGATTGTGTTATTTGCCACTAAAAAGAAAATAGTAACAAATAGAAAATAGAAATCACCATAGCATTCAAAATAGCTAATTTCATGTGAAAAAGTTTTCTCAAGAATTTTCAAATCGTCGCTAAGCTTGATGTTTGGCCCTTAAGAAGAATGATGTTAAAAACTTGTCCAAACCCGAGAAATTGGCGAAAATATAAAGCTTATTAATGCATCATAATACTCACGAGACTGTCTAGTTAAGTCGGTAAAACATTGGGTATTGGTTTTAGTTTCATTCTAAAGAAGCTTACGTTCTAAACATTCAAGTTTTTTTTTTCTGTAGTACTTTGATCCTAACTACAATATTCTGTTACTCAACATGAACTGGCAAAAAGTACTACCATGCTAATCATCTAGTTTTCTTTTAGGTAAACAGTAAAAGCCAAATACTGAAACCCACAGCATATCACGTTATTAATTTGTTCAATGTTGGGAAAATATCCAGTGCTATGTTATAAAATTGTTCGTAGTTTCTAAAAACAACAACAAAATATTAATAAATATTACATTAAATGTATGTTAACCTAATTTACTGTTGAATAAGCAGTGAAGTTATTTTCGTGCTTTGCGAAACACTAATTTAATTAAGCGTTTCAATAAACAGACTAGTAGAAATCTTTACACGTAAAGCTTTGTAAAAGGGTTAACTTGTTGAGATTTTTACGGTTCCAACTTATCTTAAGCCACTTAACCTCCTTAACTTTATCGAAACGATAGAGGAGAAAATCTAGTCTGCAAAACATTGTAATGTAATATTGAATGACAGAGTAATAACTTTCATCTTACTGTATAATTAATTGTACATAATTTGAAAAGCAATTGTTTGTTTGTTTTTGAATTTCGCGCAAAGTTCCGCGAGGGCTATCTGCGCTAGCCGTCCCTAATTTAGCAGTGTAAAACTAGAGGGAAGGCAGCTAGTCATCACCACCCACCGCCAACTCTTGGGCTACTCTTTTACCAGCGAATAGTGGGATTGACCGTTACATTATAACGCCCCCACAGCTGAAAGGGCGAGCATGTTTGGTGGGACGGGGATTCGAACCCGCGACTCTCAGAGTGTGAGTCGAGTGCCTTAACCACCTGGCCATGCCGGGCTGAAAGCAATTAAAAGAGTACTCTTCTGTTAGGTAACAGTTAACTGATGTTAAGGTGTTTAATAATTAGTGAATTTTAAGTCTTGTAATTTCAACCTGTAGACATATTAAATCGATAAATAGCGTCAAGGGCGTCAAGGAAGTACAACTAGATGGATTAAACGTAATTGCTATTGAATAAGAGAAAAGTAAGAAAATAAGTTTCGTTTTTTAAATTAGTTTCAAACTTCTCTATGTACAGAATATAAGTTGTAAAGAAAAAATAAACAAGATTAATGTGCAGAAGCTGTTAACCTGATTAAACATTTAGGAAAAAGGAAAACTCTTGGGTTGTAAAAATTAACTTATATTCAAACATTAGCACTAGTGCTTAAAAACTTCCGCTTTCTAAAACTGTTAACACGTTAAACACTAGGGTATGCAGAGAAACTCAGTTTGAAAGTCTAAGTTATAAACTTAAAAGAAGGTATGTAGAAAACTCTTGGTTTGAAAATGTTTATGCATTTAAACCAGATAGGGACTTTGTTGAATTGTTGGTTACTAAAATATCAGAATTAAAGAAAACAACTTTTGTTTGGGTGGTGTTGAATTTTCTACACATATTATAAACTTATGCTTGAATAATTATTGCAATTTCCTGTAAGTGCTCATTTAGAATTAGTTTGGGAAAATGTGCATGTTTATTTAGATACAAGACCAAAATGTATAAGAACCTCTCTCTCATAACAAATGCGCTTTTCAGAATTTCATTGAGTTATCTTATAACACTGGTGAATTCAATGTTACTTGCAGTATCTTGTTAATGTGTGCCCTAGACGTAGAAAGAGAGAGGCAGGCAGAAGTTGGTGAAGAGCAAAACAATGTAGTGTTTAGCGTATTGTCACGATAATGATTGTTAGTGCATTTAGCGTATTGTCACGATAATGATTGTTAGTGCATTGAGCGTATTGTCACGATAATGATTGTTAGTGCATTTAGCGTATTGTCACGATAATGATTGTTAGTGCATTTAGCGTATTGTCACGATAATGATTGTTAGTGCATTGAGCGTATTGTCACGATAATGATTGTTAGTGCATTGAGCGTATTGTCACGATAATGATTGTTAGTGCATTTAGCGTATTGTCATGACAATGATTGTTAGTGCATTGAGCGTATTGTCACGATAATGATTGTTAGTGCATTGAGCGTATTGTCACGATAATGATTGTTAGTGCATTGAGCGTATTGTCACGATAATGATTGTTAGTGCATTGAGCGTATTGTCACGATAATGATTGTTAGTGCATTGAGCGTATTGTCACGACAATGATTGTTAGTGCATTTAGCGTATTGTCACCGTAATGATTGTTAGTGCATTTAGCGTACTGTCACCATAATGATTGTTAGTGCATTGAGCGTATTGTCACGATAATGATTGTTAGTGCATTTAGCGTATTGTCACGACAATGATTGTTAGTGCATTGAGCGTATTGTCACGACAATGATTGTTAGTGCATTGAGCGTATTGTCACCATAATGATTGTCTTAAAGTGTAGAACATCATCAACGTCTTTTAACACACACAAACTTTATATGAATGTCTGTTAAAAATGAACTTTGATATAGATGGAGTCAATAAAATCCCTATCTATCTATCTATTTATCTATCTCAATAAAAAACTGGATGTGACCTCTGTGATTATTTAGTATCAAGTTACTTTATCTATATCAATAAAAAACTGACCCCTGTGACTATTTAGTATCAAGTTACTTTATCTATCTCAATAAAAAACAACTGTGTTTGACCTCTGTGACTATTTAGTATCAAGTTACTTTATCTAAATCAATAAAAAACTGGGTGTGACCTCTGTGATTATTTAGTATCAAGTTACTTTATCTAAATCAATAAAAAACTGGGTGTGACCTCTGTGATTATTTAGTATCAAGTTACTTTGTCTATATCAATAGAAAACTGGATGTGACCTCTGTGATTATTTAGTATCAAGTTACTTTATCTATCTCAATAAAAAACTGGGTGTGACCTCTGTGACTATTTAGTATCAAGTTACTTTATCTATACCAATAAAAAAACTGGGTGTGACCTTTGACTCTTTAGTATCAAGTTATTTTATCTATATCAATAAAAATTGGGTGTGACCTCTGACTATTTAGTATCAAGTTACTTTATCTATATCAATAAAAACTGCCCCCTGTGACTATTTAGTATCAAGATACTTTATCTATATCAATAAAAAAACTGACCTCTGTGACTATTTAGTATCAAGTTACTTTATCTATATCAATAAAAAAAACTGGGTGTGATCTAGTGGTTAGCGTGTTCAGACTGTGAATCCGCACTTTGACGTCGTGGGTATATTATAACAGTGGCGGTCAAATCCCAATACTCGCCCAAACAAGAGTAGTCAAAGAACTGATGATGGGTGCTGGTTACTAGCTACTTTCCCTACAGAATTGATTATGGGTGCTGTTTACTAGCTGCCTTCCCTACAGAATTGATTATGGGTGCTGTTTACTAGCTGCCTTCCCTACAGAATTGATTATGGGTGCTGTTTACTAGCTGCCTTCCATACAGAATTGATTATGGGTGCTGTTTACTAGCTGCCTTCCATACAGAATTGATTATGGGTGCTGTTTACTAGCTGCCTTCCCTACAGAATTGATTATGGGTGCTGTTTACTAGCTGCCTTCCCTATAGAATTGATGATGGGTGCTATTTACTAGCTGCCTTCCCTACAGAATTGATTATGGGTGCTGTTTACTAGCTGCCTTCCCTCTAGTCTATCAGTTCAACATTATGGACGGCTATTCGCAGATGGCTTTGTGTAGCTTCGACCGAAAATTCTGATATCTGTTCACTTTATCTCTAAAAACGTAGAACATTCTAGAAAAAACTTGGTAAAGATTGGGCCAACAGAAAATAATGTGTTTAGACATTAAATATAAAGCTCCCAGTGGCTCAGCGGGTTATCCGTAGACTTGTATTTCTAAAGATCGGATTTCGATATCCGTAATGAGCATAGTACTGAGAGCTCATTGTGCAGCTTTTTCTTAATTACAAACAAACAAAAATAAATAT